TAGGCCCCAATATAACTCAGGAAAACCTTCCCCTGGGCAGGCCCGTGCTGCCAGGCCCCGGCCGTGCGCCGGCGGGGCGGCGCGCCGGGGTTTTTTGGGGCAACACTAAGTGAGGCGGCCCCGCCGCGGGGCCGTGCCTGGGCCTGCATGGGTCACTGCTTTTGAACCATTGTTTCTGATCATCCTGGTTCTGTGGTCGGGCTGAAAACCTGTCACCTCACCCTCCGGTTCCTCCATAACTATTCTCCAGCTTCAGAAACGCCCCGTGCTGCCAGTAATTATGTCTGTCCTGATAAATGAAACAAGACTGTCTAGATTCTGGCACCGAGAGCAAGTGGCTTGTCTCCCTAAGGCAAAACTCTTTATTATTGTTGCTTCCCCCAGCCCAGAATCAGTCACACATGCAGCTAGCACGGGCTGATGACCACAGCCATGTCTTGCGCTGTGCCATGGTGCTGCCGGGAAGACAGCTAGCTAGCTGTAAAAGCTGCTAGCTTTTACAGGGAGTGGGCTAGCAGATAAACAGGCTAATCAAATTCAATCTAATATTCAAGTCCATATGCTGGTCATGTTTGCTTTTGCTAGTATAGGCTTAACCTTGCACTAGAACTGAGCTTTGTCCAAAGGATTTGCAGTTACCTTTTAAAAACTTACTCTATTTTTGATTCCTGACTTTTTACTTTCCCTTCAGAGTGTCAGGTTTTTTGCTGTTAAAGTACTTATAGAGCAGAATCTGTATCTGTTCATTACTTCATACAGTCCCTAGCCCATTTATTCAACTCTTTTTCTGATTCAGAATAAAGGAGCACAGGCATCAGGCAGATTTGGCCAAGCTAGAAAACAAAAGAGAAGGGGAACAAATACAGAGATTGAATCGATTGTACCAACTGGAAATTCAGAGAGGAAAGGAAGAGGAACAGGAGGAAAAAGCTGAACGCCAGAGGCTGCATCATGTAAGTAACAGGAAAGCAGACAGTTCAAAATGCTTGTTTCACCTTGACTGCCTGGAGTGGAATGGTTGCATTAGGCTCACAAATAAATAAATGGGCCTACTGGCAAGAGGAGGTTTGCTGACAGCTTCTGTAGCATTGGCTCATATGCCTGTTTTGCTAGTTGCAGGCCATGTCTTTTCCCTGTGCTTTTGAGAAAGGTCTCTTGGAACTTGTAATGTGTCATCTGAGCTTTGACTGGTCTATGATGGAAAAAGTCTGCTCTAGACAGCAGAGATTATCCTTGACTTGAGAACTGGATTCAGGTTCTACGTACCTGCTCTGTTTTAAGTCCATTTTCCTTTGTTAGGAAGAGGGAGTAGTCTGAGTCTGAACATGACAATATCTTTTAAACTTGTCTTTCCTTTTATGATTGGAGATGTTCAGAAAATTAGTCAAGACCTGCTTACCACACCTACTGTTTCCCTCCCCACACCTGCTTGAGCAGAGAGACTGAGGTGGAGGTACTGCAGTGATTCACTGGTATGTGAGGAGAGAGTAAGAAGAGAGAATTCCCAATGAAACCCTTCTTGCTTTCTTCTTCCCTGTACTCCTCACACCAGTTACACCAATCTTACCCCATTTGCCCCCAACCTTGTGTAAGCAACAAAAGCTGTATATAATTACTGCCATTTCTACGTGATTACAAAATGCCTTGTGCTTTACATTTTTATGGTTCTCCGGACTTTTAATATTTGAGCCCTTCAGAGTCAGTGCTCTGTGACTGATACATAGAATAAGAGCCGTACAGCTGGAGCCAGTGGGGACATAGAGGAAATAATATAACTTAAAGATACTGTGCTTGAGGCTGCAGCCACATTCTAATTTTACTTTTGTGGTAGTTTGTAGTAAGTAGGTAATGAAAATTCTTCTCCATCTCTGAGTTTGTCTTCTATAGCTCCTCCACTGACATAACCAAAGAACTCTTACTATAGGCTAGGCCTGAAGTCTTTGCTGGAGTTTTTTTTCAGTTCATGTTTCCAAAAATCTCATTCTACATGAAAAGTACTTTTCCATTTAAACAGGAGTATGTAGCTGAGCAGAAAATAATTAAAGCTGAAGAGAAACAAAAAGAAGATGATGATGATGATCGGATTGAGGCTTATATTAGAGGAAAAGAAATGATGGCTGATCTGTCAAGAGAAAAATATGTGGAGACTAATAGGTGGGTCTAGGACTCCAGTTTTCAACATTAAGATTCAAGCTTGCATTTAATTTTGTGACAAATGTTACTCTGAATTTTTATATCAGTAAAATCACAATGTTGTGCTGCAGGCAATTTTTCTGTAATTAAAAATTGAAAAAGAAGTAGAAAGTCCAGAAGAAATGCCTACCAGTTCCACTAGTAATTGGTGCTGTCGCAGGTGGAAGTGGGATTACTGGCTTTGTTAGGAGCACTGCCTCAGGTAATCTGAGTGGATATCCTGGTATGTTATGGTAGTTCATGTTCTTGTGCAGGCAAATGCAGAAGCACAAGGACAAAGCTTTTGAACAATTAACTGCACAGATGAATGAGGCATTTAAGATTGAAGATGATCGACTTGCTAGAGGAGCTGCAGAGGTAGAACACGAATACCAACTGAAAAACAAAGAGAAAGAAGCAAAAGAAAAGGCTGCCATTGAATCGATTGCTGAACACAGAGCTTATGTGGTAAGAAACCTAGCCTGTTCTTATTCCTCTTTCTGTCATATATACTTGTATTTCTGAATACATTTTAGAAATATCATATACTCCAGCAGAGCTATCTTGAGGCGCACGTGCAAGTTCTCACCTAGCAGCTGCCTCTCATATTTACTATCTGTAATTTCAGAACTATCTCCTTAAAGTTGAAAGCGGTACATGTGATGATCCCCTCAAAAAAAATTAAGAGTTGGAAGACCCTATAATTATTGCTAATTAGCACAAACATTTTCCAGACTCCACTTCTTACTTTGACCGAGGAGCCTGGCCCAGAGCTGGTGGCTCTGGTGCTATGCATCAGGTGTGCTTCATCAAGTCCACTGACACCTTTCCTGGGGTCGTCTTTCCCTCTTCCAATTGTGTTGGGCGCATGTCTGCCAGGGCGGCTGAAAACCCCGGGTTTGGACACCAGCCAGCCCCAATGACCGTGCTTATCAGAGCACTGATACAGGGCTGCTTCTGCTGAAAGACACTGCTTCCAGCTCAGCACCCCAGCTCCTTGGTTGACTTCTTTTTTTACTTTATAAAATACAGATGAAGATGAAAGTGGAAAAGGAGAGAGAGGAAAAAGCGGAGGATGAGAAGGATCGTAATCAATGGATGACAGCAGATCGGATCTACTTGGAAAAGGAAAAGGCCAAGAAACAAAAACAACGTGATGCAAACATGGAAGTACAGAAAATTCAGATCCAGCAAATGGTAAATAGGTGTACCCTGTCAAGCCCTTCAGAAAGAAACATGCATCTAAACTCATAGTACTCTTATCTCCTGGGTGGGAGAGAGTAGAAGCTTGCTGCAGGTGTGATGGGCATGTTTAATTGTTTTTTACGTGTGTGCACTGTGGGTGCTGATGTTGGGGACCAGCCTCCTCTCAGAACAGTGGAACAGAAGCCTCTTCCAGGCCAACATGGCCTGTGCTGGTTGGGGAGGATTCCCTGGGAAAGCTGGTAATAAGAAAGAGATCGATCAGTAATAAGAGATCACATCCCATCCTGTGTCATCATGCCATTTTTTCAACTGTGTTGCTACTGCCCTCTTGTATCTTCTGGGCAGGTCACCAAAGATCAGCAGCTAATGCTGATGTTCACTCAGCTATCCAGTGTACCCTTTCTGTGGGGGGTATGGCAGGGGAGAGGAGTGGGGATGGGTGATACTACAAGTATCAACTACCATCCCTTTTCCTCATCAGGCTGAAAAACAGGCCAAAAAAAAGCAGGAAAAGCAAGCAGATCTGGACTACGATGCTCAGCAAGAAGCTGCTTTTTGTAACAATCGAGCATTTCAGCGATAAAGACAGTGAGTAACTGAATCAGTGCCATTACTGGATGTAACTTATTTTCCAGGCATCTAAGGAGGGAACAAGATGTGGGTTTCCCTTAACTAGGACAACTGCAAGAGTGATGGGGTATATACATATGCAGTATTAAAAAAACCTGTGGGAGTGGGGAAGGGTGACTGATGTAATACCATCCATGTTCCTTCTTGCTAAATGTACATGAGCCCCCAGCTTGTTCAGGGACTTGGCAAACACTTGGCATTGTGCAGGAGTGTTGCAGCTTGCATGCCCCTCAAAGCCCTGCATTGGGGCAGGTCCAAGAACTCTCTGCAGAGCCAGCACAGATAAGGTATTGTCTTGGTTGGTCAGCCCTGCTGTGGTGCGGGCTGCTGTGCTGTTTTTGGACAGCAGGATGTGGCTGGATGGAGCTGCCTGGCTCTCTGTACCCATGTCAGTTAGTATGGCCCATAAGGGGCTCATTCTGTGGAGTGAGGAAGTTGCTGCTGAGAACTTGACCCCTATGATGCGTGTGTTTCAGAGGTTTTGCCCAGAATAGCTCTAGCCTTGTGTCAGGGCCAGATGCCCATTGCTGACTGAAGCACATCTTCCTGTTTTAAGTTTCATCCAAAAGGGTCCAGTTGATGATTGCTTTGTAATGTGAACCAAAACACAGTAAGAAGGAACAATCAAGAGACTTGTTTCAAAAACTCACTTCTGACAAACTGAAATGCTAATGTTACAGCACTATCAACTAAAAGACAGAGTTCTCTCCAATGATCTTGGAGTAATTGATTTTGGAAATTACTTTATTTTTTTAGAGAGACATGGCAATTAACTTGTGAAGTAGTCTCTAAATACATTTTTTTTTCTTAGTGAACTAATGAAAAATTTATTTCCCTTCTCTCTGAGCCAGTGCTCCTTTTACTACTTCAAGCTTTTTTCATCAAGCAGAAAGAATGAAAACTTCTATTAAAGCCTTTTGATTGCAGAAGCTGGAGCCTTCAGAAGAAGTATTGACCACAGCAGAAGTGGTGCTGAAATCTGCAGAGCTTGATAATGCTCCAAATACATCCCTAAGTGCATATTTGCGCATTCTCACTACCATGCAATTGGTGAGTTAAATGGGTTGTTAGTCTACCTCCACAGCAGCAAGAAGCAAGGTGGACTGCAGTCTCATTTCCTACTCAGCTTCAAGAAATGCCCTGTTCTGCAGATTATGGATGTCTGCATTTGAAGTCTACAGCCTGCTTCCATGAGGCTTATCCCTTTTACTTTGAACATCTACAGAAATATCAAACTCAAGTACCAGAAAACAATTCTTCCTTTCAGTGTACTTACAGTGAAGTAGTAATCCTGTGTAACTTTCAAGCGTATTGGCTAAATATGGATTTAATTACCCAAATTCAGCATGAAAAAAACCAGCATGAATCATGATGTCACTTTATTCCACTGAGTTTGAGAGGCTTTGTGTGCTTGCTTTAAATGACTAATCCTAGTTAGTAATACTCCATAAAACTAGGCAAAATACCCCTCAATATTTTAAGAACATGAAGAATTACTCGAGGTTCTAAAATTTTCAGTAACAAAGCATTTTGGTAATATTTGATTGTCTTTTACAGTTGTCCTATGTGAAAGGCAAGAATGGAAAGTTGCTTGTGGGAATAATACAGAAGACTAAAATCAGTTTGTTTATGATATGTTGAAGAACACAGGAAGAAAAGACAGGGACTAGGCTAAGAGAACAGCTCCTTTTGCAAGTAGAAGCAGTTGAAAGCTATTGAACAGACTGAGATAAACAGAAAGCTGAGCTTGTTCAACCTGGCTAGGGAGACTGCTTAGGAGACTAAATAGTGACCTAATTAACAGCCTATAGCTGCTTGAAGGGTAGTTACAGATACAGCAAAGCCATACTCTTCTTGGCATAGTCAGGCTTTTGATAGAACAAATTGTGACATCAGGAAAACCTTCACCAGGAGCATAGTGTGATGACACTGGATCAGAATGGCCAGAGGCAGTAGAATTGCTACCTGTGAAGGCTTTAAAGATGTCCATGTATGACAGGAGGTTGGTCTAGCTGACCACCAGAGGTCCTTTTCAGTTACCATTTAAAGATGGTGACAAAATACGGGGAGATCAGCTGCAGCTGATAAGAAGGGAAATTGCTGACCTGGAAGAACCCAATGCCTAGTTGTCACTAGTATTAGTTATTAGCTGAAGTTTTAATTAATAGCTAGCAAATTAGAATATGCTTTGAGAAATAATTTGACTAGTTAACTACTGGTTTTGCTCAAGAAAGCACCCTCTCAGATGGTGTGCTGCTTCAGGAGTTTGTAGCAGATGAGAAACATAAGAGGTATTGGCCTTATTAGAAGGCCCAGGCCTTAGAAATGCAAGGCAACTCTCAGAGGGCCTGAGACAGCCCTTCAAATCAAACTGTTTTTTCCAAGCCTGTCACCCACCTCTGGAAGTAGAGCAGCAACAGAAGTTTGAACATGTATGCCTCCAGGGCCTGACATGGTATTCTGCCAGCAGTAACACAACTGGTACCTGTGTAGCTGTGGTAAGACGGGACTGTCATCTTGGTTCTAATACAACTCCTACCTAGGAAATAGAAGAGAAGCTTTCTCAAATGCCTCATATCCTAAGGAAATTTGAGTTAACTGACTGCAGCTCTTTGCTATGAGGTAGTGTTCCAGGTTAGAGTTACTAATTCTGTTCAGGTTCTTTTAACATTACAGTCTGCTACTGATCAGCTCTGAGGAAGTTGAAGAGGACACCTACCTGGAGACAAACTACCCATGAAGAGAAGAGATGGCACCATGAGACTATCGAGGATGGACATTTTCATGTCCCAGTATGCTCCTGGAAAAAGAAAAAAAATTTTTTCAAAGCTCAGTGGTCATGTTAGGTCAAATAATTTGTTCTGTTCCAATAGCTAAACTATTTCAGATGCCCATTAACAACTTACACCTTTCTGGTATCTTCAATGGGAGAGTGCTATAACTAGTCTGTACTCTTCCTTCTTGTTCTGGCAGTGCATCTTTGAGAAGGAGAATTTGCTACTTCTAAGTAGCTCTCAAAAAAACTCCCAAAACAACCTCAGCAGAAAAACCCTCCTTCTTTCTGAAGACTTAGAGTGAGTTGAAGTGAAGGCCAGAGATGTGATGAGACCATTATGAGATGTCTTTGGAATTATCTTTAATTCTCCCTTATTTAAAGTAAATTAAGTTGTGCTATAGGCTTTCTTAAACTTGTAATGCATGTAGTCGTTCCCTTTACACTCCTACTCTGCCACTACTACAATCTACGTAGCTTTTAGTTTTGGTGTATCATGTATCATTAAAAGCTAGATACTGGAGTGGATACATAAATGATTCAAACCTGCCCTCTAATCTCCTAAACCATGTGCTAGAAAGCAGTCTTAAAGCATAGTTGTTCATAGCTGGTTGATACTGTCTTGCACAAACCAGGATGGCATTTTATTTCTCTGAGTTTATCTCCAATACATTATTCAGAGAAATATACAATTCTGTTATGCTGAAGGGCTTAAACATCAGAACTGCAGGTCCAATAAAATTCAACATTTACATCTCTGTTAACATACTAGCAATTGCCCCCCCCTTGAAGGAATAGCACCTGGTCTGACTTTTCTGTGTAAAGAGAAAGCGGAAAAGTTAGAAAGCAGCAACATGTACTGGAAGAAGCAAGCAGTAGTTACTGAGCAGAGACAGGGTCAAAGAGATGAAACTACCAAGGCCTGGGAAATGCAAATCCAGCAACTGGTGAAGTGCCATAGGGGACAAGGGAGAAACTGGACTATCTTTGGTAAAGCTTAATAGCACATTACTGCTATAGGACAAGGTTTTCTGCATTACTTTTCAATTACAACTATCAGTGCATAAAGAATTAATTGTACAGTAGTTAGAGAGTAAGACTTAAACTCTGTCTCTTTCTTCTTCAGAAACACATCTGACAACTACAGAAGTATCTACTAAGGAATAAGAAGCTAACCACTGCCTCCTTACAAGTTATATGTGCCTGCAAAACCTATCAGTGCCTAACAGCTGAAGCTAACTCTGGAGCAAGTTACAAGGCATGCTATTTGCCAGAACCTGCCTGTACTTACCTTCAGCTCAAGAAACAAGTACCACAGCTACAACCATAGCTTGCAACTGTACCTGTAACTATTCTAGTTTTATTACAGAACAAAGCAGTAGATTCAGTGTCTACCAAGTTGAGAGGTAACAACTGGAGGCAAACAGTTAATCTGTACTCTTCAGGTAGTGCTGGGCTTCCAGGCTTAACTCAAACCTTCTGTTTTGGCTTAAAATTTTACTCAGCAAATAATAAAACTGAGTAAGCTTCTTAAATTTGCCTGTAACAGTTTCTCTGTGTTGAGTGTATCTTTGCAATGTTTTTCTACTTACTTTGGAGAATGCAGTTGAAGATAGGAAGACTATCTTGAGAAAGTTGTGGCACTGGCTGAGTCCTTAATCCTTTATGGGAAAGATGTCTGCAGCAAGACTGTATCTAGCACTCGGGTTTCTGACTGTAAGCTGTCCTACCACAACACAAATTCACATCATCAAAGGGGTAGTTCATCTGTAACTATGCAAAAATGTTGTGCTTCACACACACAGACTGTTGGGTTTGTGGAGATACAAGATTGAAGTTTGCAAAAATTAGTGGTCAGATTATGTAGCTGCATTTTTATGTGTTACAATGTAGAGACAGTGAATAAACTGTCATTGGTTGTTCTATGGTAGAAACTCTAATTCCATCTATAACTCAACAGTCATCTGATTTAGCAGGGAATAAAAATGTAACTATTCACATCTTCAGTAAAAATGGATAGATCTTGGTTTAACTGAAAAGGTAGTGTCCTGACATCAAATCATACCTTGTAAATCTGTACAAACAGTAGTACCACTTTAAAAGGTTGGAGACTGACACTCACAAGCAGGTTTACACACACAGGTTACACCATATGACATGAAGTGGGTATTATTCTAAGAAGATGCTAAGTAATACTGCAAGAAGCACACATGGCTGACATACAGAATACACTAACAAATATGCAAAAAAGCATTTATTTGAGAAGTACTTTTAATACACAAGTTGTACATTTACTATCAAGAACTCATTCTCCCAGCTGACAACTGGCTCTCCTTCCCCCTCAGGAAATATAAATTTCAAAATAGCCAAAAGACCAAGGTTTCTAAATACTACATGTACAATGTTGCCTGTATATTTAACCACAATTCTTTTAGCTGGTGAAAGAAACCAGTTAGCTATTTTCTCTTACCACTGATCATAAATAGGCCTAACTTCTTTTCAATCCTTCCAACATTTCATTAGCTATGGCTGAAGCCACACACTGACTACTTTTTATATAGTTCCAGGGATATGCACAGGATATGAAGAAATGTCTAACTTCCTGCCAAAACCAGCAAGCTTTCTATGTGCTTTTCATGTAGCAAAGTTTCAATTGAAAGGGTGCTGCATTAGTTCAGTTCCTTTAGTCCTGTTAATGTTAGCATTAGAACTTTTATGAATACAAATTTAAAACCAACCAGTTAACTGCCCTATTAGTTTCATTTGAACAATGACTATGATTAAGGAAAAACACAAATTCTTTATCAAAATGTACTTTTATGTAGTTTTACTATCCAAATGCAACACTTTTATTATATTCTGTTCCTTTTGCAATATTTCATACTAAAATCAGAAAACTTATTTTGGTATGATAGATTTTTTTTTTTAATTAAAAAAAAGGTGAATAATACTTTTTGCATTTATGCAACTCTAGTTTTGTTGGAATGGTGTTCCTAATGATATAAATTGTTCAAAGGTAAGGAATAAGAATTATACTAAAAGTATGTATTCAACAAAATGGAAAGCTAGTTTTATGCTAGGCAACTGCAGAATTGTATGAAATTCAAATTTTGCAAAATGCAGAGTTCACAGACTTAGATGTGCATTTTCTTGAATAATTTAGTTACATATTGCACTAGGAAAATTACTATTTTCAGCAAAAGGAAAGTGCAAGTAACAGTTCTTTATATTTCTTTCATGACTAGAAGTGTGAAGATTAATTTTGTCACTGGTATTCTCATGGCTGCTGCTAAAATACTGCTGTTGTCTCAAAGTTGCTGTTCAAGCATTGGAGAATATAAAGATTATTTGAAAGAGAGGTCTTTGATAAAGCATAGTATGTCTTCTATTATAAGAAAAGTCCTAAAAACGGGGATATACAATTTTGTCAGACAAGCAATGAGTCTACTATGCCCCTAGAAAGTGTGTCCAAAAATACTTTATTTGCTTCAGTAAATCAACAACAGATCAACAGTTCCAGGAAAGGTGGCTAAAGGACTTCTTCTATGTTTACATTAATCTAAAATCTACTTTCCAGACTGACATTATTACAAATTAGACATTGTTAGGGATCACTGCAAATTCTTCACGGCATCTGACAAAGACCACTGTGAGAAAAGTCTGTAATGTGGGATTTCTAATAGCAAGTGAGAAGTTTCAGGTTAAAATTTTGACAAACAGATAGAACAAAGGGTTAAAATGTAACCATTGCCTTTGTTTTTTTCTCTTCTTAAAATAATAAAACCCAAACCAAAGCAACAATTGAAACACTATGGCTGTGTCAAAGCATTAGCAGACAGCAACATATGTTTTACAGGCAATAGTGTCTACACAACCTTACATTATATCCACCCACCCTTGGTAAGAATTTGTGCCTGAGTAGATAGCAGTACCCAGAAAATCCAGTCTCTTTCTGACAAAGTTTGGAAAGCTACCACCAAAACTAAGTTCAGCATTCCATGTATATATAGGCTGTATGGTATTAGTAAAATGTCAATATCTAGTATCAATACAACAGAGAATTCATGTCTAACCTTTGGAAATTATTTCAAGCCTCTACATACGCTTAAAATGTATGCTTTAGAGAGTTAGTCCAGTATTCCCTGCTATCATTTTACCTTGAGTCTTGAGGTTCAGATTCTCTGGGGTACAGACAGAAAAAGCTGTCCTCCAAACGTCCTACATTTTCCCCTATTTGCAAGGACAGACCACAAGCATTGTTCTGATTATCTCTGGTACATTAAACTATTGCTTTCAAATATGCTTCCAGTTTAGTTCACTAAGCAAAAAGCTTGTAACACAGCTGCCAAAGACAGCATTGAGCTGTACCACGACTACAGCACAAGGTGGTTACTGTGAGGTGGGCACAAGAAAGCTCTGTCACTGAGGGAACAAACGGATGGAGGACAGCAAGAGCAGTAGTCAGTGACTCACACGGTGGCAGGAGCTCACTGGTGCTTGGGGACATCTTGCTGTCTCATCCATGGGACTGTGCTTTAGTCCCATTGGATTTTCATCAGCATTCTCAATTTCCAGTTTGATAAAGAAAAGCATAAATCTGGCAAATCTTCCCTCTTACAAGACTGCAATTTTTGTTTCAGTTTAAACAAAGTGATTGGCATTAAAACAATTTACCATTAAATACAATACAGGCAAAGCATGCACTCACGAAGAGATCAAGTGTATCCCACCAAATGCAATCAAAAGCAACCAACTTCTTACAAAGTATATTAAAACCAAGAAAATGAGCTTTGTGCCACCAACTCAGATGAATTTTTAACGTGCTATGAAAGAATTAGAGATCATTTAATTTATACAAATAAATTTTCTTAACTGTGACCAAAACGTCCGTATGAAAGTGTATACAAGTGCATCTTTTGGAATACCTAGTTACACACAACTGCAAACTACAATTCGATCTAATGTCCCTTTTAAGATTTTAAATTAAAAACATAGTAACATCTTTTATCAATTCTTATGAATTGCCTTATTGTTGACTGCTTTCATTTTTTTACCCCTCTTCTACAGCAGAGTCAATATAGTTGAGGGGTTTTGTTTGTTTGTTTGCATGCTTATTTGAGCTTCAGTGGTGTTGGCAAGAATATTCTCAGGAGTGCAAACATACTTCAGCAAGTTTGTGTGCCAGCTCCGTAAAAAAATAAAGAACACTGCAATCATTTTTTAAATGTGACTCTGAAGCAGGTGGCATGCATAGTACAGTATAAATGCACCAAGGAAGCCTTTGTCCAAGCTGCCATACAATTCTCTTAAGACTAATTTCCCAGCTTTTTCTTACTACAGTCTCCCAAAATAGGACTACAACTTCTCCGAAGTCATAGAGTTCAGACAGAACAGGTCCCCTGTACAAGTCTTTGGTTCACTCCTATAAGCTCTCTTTAGTAAGAGCTCTATCATCCACCCCCATGTGGGCTTGGGAAGCATTTCTATACATTGTTTAAAATGACCACTGCAACACAAAATTCATACTAAACAGAGGAAAAAGTAGTTAATAGCCAAATCAGCTCTACAGCAGGTCTACTAACTACTCTGCTAAAAAGTAACACTACACACTTCTAGTTTTCTTCCCTCAGAAAGGTTGCTTGTTGTTCACACTCCTGTATTTTCTTTTACTTTGAAGACATAGCTGTTTGTTTTCCTTTAGAATAAGAACTGTCTGGATCACAATGTGCTTCAGCAATTCTGCTAATCCACTGTAGACACACACTGATTACAAAGCTGGTTATATAGCAAAAATGTTGACAAACTCCTAACAAAGACAGTAAGAAGTTAGTTATCTCATAGACTCAAAGATCTGACAAAAAAAATCAACTATTAAAACAGCATTTTGCTTCGACGTGGCTTTACATTAATACTTGTCACTTCTCTTCAGGATTTACCAGCCTTTGGTGTGAAGAGTTCAGAGGACTGAAAGAAGAGTTGGGGTTTGTACCAAATCTACCCTCCCAGCCCGCTACGTTATGTTACCACGTAGCAGCTGCTCTTTGGTGATTGCATCTATGCAGACACTCCTGCAGCAACCCAAGCCAACCTCCTCTTTAATATGAAGGTGTGGTGGGTCTTGGAGGCAGGAGAGGAAAGCAGAAAGGGGAGGGAATTGGTTTGAGAAAGACATACATGTAGTAGAGAATGAGGAGGAATTCTCAGTACAGTCTTTAGAATGAGGGGATGCAGGGAGGAAGGTAAATTTTTGCTTTAAAAAAATTCAGAGCCTGTCTTAAAACATTACTTGAAATTCTACTTCAGTTACTCCAAAAATCATTGGAGAACTGCATTAGTTTTCTCAGACTGCTAAGAAGCAGCAAGAATAGAACGGATTTCCTGGTTCCTTATTCTGACACCCACTGTGAACTCTGGTAATCTGTTTCATCACTGTGCATCCATTAATTAGCAACTGAGGCAGGGCAGTCTGAAGCATCCAAGCTGAATTTTCTGCAGTAGCCAAACATGGAAGCATGGAACAGAAAAAGGTTACAGG